CGTCTGTGACGTGGCGTGCGTGGAGTCCGATGCTCGGGCACCGCCCTGTGGTCCCTGCACGCGTGACACGTGGCGTTCACCCACCCACCCTCTGAGGCCACTGCAGAGTCCCCGAGTGATTGCCGCAGGTAGTGTGGGGTTCAGGTACCCCGGGAGCCAGCTTTGGTTTGGTTTCTTTTGAGTCTGCAGAAATGGGATTGTGGGATCCCGGGAGACCTTTGTGTCTTTTCAGTTAGCACCGACCCACTTTTCCCAGGGGTGGCCCAAGTTGAAGCCGTGGGGCTCCGACCCACCGATGGGCTGCCCTGCCCTGCCCCAGTCTGTCGTCCGCCTTCGCAGAACAAGGACTCTGCATTCTCCCGCCAGTCCCTGAGCCACACCGGCGCCGCTACTTCCATGTCTCCGGGCGCCCTCAGCGTCAGGGGCGGTCCCGGCGCCCCGCACCCGGTCTGAGTCTTGCTCTCGGCCGCAGCCCGCGAGGGCTGGCGGGGGCTTCGCCACCCCCTGGACACGAGTCGGAGCCACGAAGGCCAGCTGTGCCCCTTTGTCCGCCGCCCACTTGACGCAGCTGGTGGACGGAGCAGTACCCCGTGCAGGGCCTTAGCGCGGCTCTCGTCCCTAGGGTTTGCTGTGGTGTCTTTAGCTCTGCCTTGCTTTTCTCTCTGCTGTTGGTTCACCCGCTCGTGCAGTCCCTGGTGTGTGCCCCTTCGGTCCCCCAAACCCAGACTCCGTGCAGGACAGAGGAGTGCCCTGTCCTCCGTGTGCCAGCCTGGGCGCAGTTTGGTGCCGATGAGGGAGTGGCCTTGGGTCCGCTGCCCGGTTGAGGGGAGCTGGGCGCCTTCTGCAGGTCGCAGGGTGGCAGCAGCCAGCAGGCGACCCCTTGGTGCTGCTCAGTCTGGGGGGGGGGTCCCAACCTCTCTCCCCGCGGGACACAGCCTCACGTGCATCTGCTTCCTTGCAGGCTGCTTTAGTGAGCAACATCACCACAAGTGAGAGGGTCATCAGAGACCTGCAAGGTAAGCCTCGCTCCGCTCCAGCCTCTCTGGGCTGCTGAGAGAGCCTGCCCTTCTCCCGCCCCCCAAGAGCTCCCCTGGCACCCTGATGCTCAGGATGGCAGCGTTACGAGTAACTGAGCAACTTATTTCTTGTGTAGTGTTGGGGATGGAATCCAGGGCTTTGCACATGCGAAGCAACATCCCCAGCGCCTTTTAAACTTTTTTTTTTGAGACAGGATCTCACTGTGTAGCTGAGACTGACCTGAAACGCACTGTGTAGCCCAGGCTGGTCTCGAACTCACAGTGATCCTCCTGCCTCAGCCTCCTGAGTGCTGGGATTACAGGCGTGCGCCACCACACCCAGCTTTAATTCTATTCTGAGATGAGATCTTGCCAATCTGGGCAGGATGCCCTGAGTAGCTGACTGCGGGCATGGGCCGTGTGCTCTCCATGACTGGCTGTGTATCTTCTTAAATCTTTGGCTCCGACAGTGTTAGTGAATGTACTACAGGTGTAGGGCCCAGGATTTTGACTCATTTATAACTAGGCTGGCTGTGGGTGTCTTGTCGCTCAGTAGCAGAGTAACTGCCTAACATGTCCAAGGCCCTGGGTTTGATTCTCAGCACTACCGAAAACATTACATAGGTTGGGCATCCTGATCCAAACATGTAAGAGTCCCAGGTGCTTCAAAATCTGAGACTTTCTGAGCGTAACGTAGCGCCACGACCAGAAAAGTGCACACCGGAACTCAGTTGACCAGTCACAGTGAAAATGCACAAAGTTACCAAAAATGTTAGGAAAACCCAGTGGAGGCCACGTATGTGAGGTGTTCGTATGTATGTGAAGAAGGCATGGACCTCATGTTTACTCTCCTAAGACACCATGGGAAATACTCCAAACCGAAACAACGACAAACACCTCCGCCGCCCAGCACCTCTGATGAGGGGTGCGCAGCTGTGCGAGCAGCAAGTGTGAGCGCTCTGACGGATGTGGAGGGTGTGTGTGGCTCCATGGGCCGTCTGCTCTCGGGTGCACCTCGTGAACCTGAGACTGTCCAGTCCAATTTAATTCTTCCTCTGCAGCTAGACTCCAGTGTGGCAGCTTAGGATTCGTTTTCCCCTGGGTGGTGGTTGGACAGTGGAGGGCAGAGTCCTCAGGGAGGACACAGTGAGGGGACCTCTGGCCTTGGGCGGAAGCTCTATGAGCCCCCGCAGCCAGAACCTGTGTGGACTGGTGAGTTCTTGACACGTGGCAAGCTGGGCAGAAGGACCAGACATTTAAGTTGTTTTCAGTGATTTAGATTTAAAACTAATGTTTGACTGTGATCAGGAGACTTAAGTACATTTGACACAATATACATGTATTAATTCACTTCTTAACTGTAAATTTTATTAAGTCTAACTTCCAATTAAGAATTTCTAATAAGCTAGCTGTGGCGAGGCCTGCTTTTTATCTCAGCTGGGAGGCTGAGGCAGTAAGATCAAAAGTTCAAGCCCAGCCCAGGCAACTTGGTAAGTTAGTGAGACCCTGTCTCAAAATACAGAAAGGAAGGCCCTGGGTTCAGTCCCCAGGACTGTAAAAACAAAAACAAAAAAACGAAATCTAATGAAAATTTAACAATGGAATGGAAATGTTCCACAATTGTAAACTATCCGACATCGCAAAGCCTGGAGAAGAATTTTTTAAATCTCACTCAAAATGTTTACATTCAGCATAATTGGCAAAATAAGATTTCTATCAAGTTATATAAAATGTATTAGAAAACTCCCCCTGGTTTTACTTTTTATAGTACTGTGGCTGTTAGAAGCACACACTCCCCTGTGGCTTGCAGTTCTGCTGGGCAGCACTGGTCGTCTGCAGGTCAGCTCTAGACATCAGTAAGAGCAAATGAGATTTCCTTTATCAGCTTCCAGAGTTGGCTTGTGTTGCCCTGCATATAGCCTCTGATCGGCTGCTAATCTGTAGATGAGTTTAATTTCCCACAGTTGTAATCTGCACGGCACCAAACCATATATACCCTGTTTGTCTGGCTTCTCTCACTCAGCGTAATTATTCTAAGATTCATCTGAGGTGCACAAGTAGCACCACTGCGCTCCTTTTTATTGCTGAGCAGGCCCACTGTCCCACACTTGTCTGACTGTGGACTCTGTCTTCATTAAAGTGGACCGTACATAGTGAAGTTTACCCTTTGTGTAGAGCACACTTCAGTTCGTGCTGACGAGCACGCGTCTCACAGACCACCGTTACAGCCCTCACTCCAGGCTGACCTCCTCGACACAGCCCACAGGCACTGCTGAGATGTCCCCCGTAGGTGCTTCTCAGACTGGTCCACGTTGCCGGGTATACCAGTAGTTCCTGGAGCCCCCACCCCAAGCGCCTTGCCAGTCTCTTGTCTCAACATAAACACTAGGGATATTGGCAGTTGTTCAGGGCTGTGGCTGGGCTCTGCTTACTGCTGTCTCCCTCTCTGCTGGGCCAGTCTCACTGCTTTACCTTCTGCCCAGCCTGGCTGGATTTCTGTTGCTGGTCTCTGCAGAGATTTTGGGAGCAGAGCTGTCAGAGCAGAGGTGGGAACGAGTATCCTCCAGGAAGCTGCTGTTGCCCTTGGGAGAGGGTTGGGCCATCCAGGAAGCACAGTGCTTTGGAGAGTAGTGCACGGAGACTCAGGGCCAAGGGCAAAGTATCCCCTCGGAGGGCTGGGTACTGGGTCAAATGTCCAAGTCAGGGTAAGTGGGCTGGGGGTGAGGGACACAGGCATGGGAGTGGTTTCCAGCGACAGTTCAGGGCTCACTGTAAGATAAAAGCAGACAAGTAGACCTCCCTGCACATTTTAAGGATTGGCAGTCAAGGAGATTGGGCAGACATTTGAAAAACAATGAAGATTAGGTTCCTAGGGGTCCTCAGCCTGCCGGGAATGGAACGGCAGGAGCTGGGTGTCTCCTCTTATCTCTGCTCCCTCCTTCCCCCTTCATGTTCTGACACACGAGGCTCACTTGATGTGTTTCGGTGACCTGGGTGACGTATCCTCTCCTTGGCGCAGACCAGCTGAAGGCCCTGCAGAGGAGCTACGGCAGGCTGCAGCAGGACGTATTCCAGTTCCAGAGGAACCAGACCAACCTAGAGAGGAAGTTCTCCTACGACCTGTGAGTCCCTCCGTGTCCCGGTCCGGGGAAGTGCAGCCAAAGGCTGAGGCCAAGTCCACTGGGCTCGCTTCTGCCACAGAGCACAGAGCTCCTGGTGTATGCAGGGCAAAAGCTGGAGTCTTTCTGGGGTTCATGTCCTTCAGAAATTATGAATTTGACTTTGAGAGTGTCGGCAAGGGCTTCAGAAGCAATGGGCTCAGTAAGAGTGAGCCAGCAGGGTTTATAATACAAATGAAGGCAGATCATGAGGAAAGAGGGAAGGAAGGAAGGGGAAAGAAAAAGCAAAGAAAGTCTGTTGTGCACATCCGGCAGTTCTCAGCAGGAAGCGCATTGCTCAACAAAACTCAACATACCTTCAAATTCTATAAAGCACAGACGTGCTAGTTAAGCCAGCAATCTAATTCTGTTAAAAACGAGTTCTAGAACTGCTCACATGTGGGCTAGGTCAAACTCATACGCTAAAAGACATTTTGGCAAATATTAATAGAATTTATTACTGGCTGATGACATGTGGGTGCTTTATTTTCTTAAAGCTTTACAATGTTTTCCCAAATGTCTGCAGTGAGAACAGAACACTTTTATAATGAGTGAGTGAAACCCTTTGGGAGGATACTACAAACCGATCTACTGTTTATTTTCCCACTGTTCTTCCTGTCATAAAAACAATGAAGAAGAAGTGTGGGAATTCAGGGAGTGCCACTGCCCATGACCCCAGCTCTCACATGCTTGACGTTTCCCCCTTGACTGACCTCTCAGTCCGGGCCCAAGTCACAGGAATTTTTCTTATGTAATTGTTGTAACCATAAAAAACTATAACAGTATTTTTTACTTACTTGCGTTATCTATAAAAATTCATACAGCTTCAGAGTGCCGCCTCATTTAAAATGATTTTTGATTATTTCCTCTGCAAGACACCACCTGTAGGTTTAACTTGTCACCGAGTGTGAATCGCTCACGTGCCTCTGAAAGGGTTTCAGCCCCCTGCCGCCACCAGCAGGGCAGGAATTAGCCGCCCCCACCCACTGCCGGCCTAGGGTCGCCCAGGTTGTTCTAAGACTTTGCCCATTTGCCTGGTTTCTTCCTCGCTGCTCTAAAACCAAACACCATGAAAGACACGCAGCCCAGGCACAGCTGTTCACACGTTCAGGATGGGACAGTGCCCATCAGTTTTAGTGTATGTGCTGCCGGAGTGAGCCCTGGGACAGCAGCCCCCAGAGTGTGCTTACACAGACCGAGACATCCCTGGGCCGTGGCACTCCTGCCGTGTGTTCATGTGGCCTGTGGCTGTAACCACGGAGGAGGCGTGAGCACAGTCCATTCTAGGGCGGCAGCACAGAAGATGTACATAGAGCCTTGCTCAGCCATGTGCAGGGCTCTTGGGTGGGGGCAGTCTTAACCCTCTACGGCGGTGTCTGGGGCGGTCTTGTCCAGACCCGGGGTATCCCTGAGCATCGGACAGTGAGCAAGACGGCTCGATGTGGCCCACAACATCTGTAGTGCCAAGGTGAGAGAACTGAATTTGGACAGAAATGAAGTACCCAAATTTATTAGTTATCCTTAAAGGGCACAGTAATGCTCTTGCTTTCCCTCCACTGGTTGAAATGCAAAAGGCCATTAATGATCTGACCTGAGAAATGTCGGCCCAGAAGATTCTGAGCGAGCTGGAAGTCCACAGGCACAGTGCCCAGGAAGAACACGTGCTCCACACGGGGCTCACCTTGGCTGGGTGTGCACAGGGGCACACTTGCTGGCTTAGACTGAAGGCTCTTTGGGCAGAGACCCTTTTTGAGAATGTCAGGGAAGGTACAGGCACCTTAGCAGCAAATCCTTAAAGTGCTGTGTGTGTAGAGTCGTGCATTCAGCTTGAGGGACTGGAAGGCTCCTGCCGCTGCGTGCCCGCCCTGCATGGAGTCGCCTTGTGTGTCTGAGCCTTTCATAGCGGTGGGGAGAGCATGAGAGCGGACGGAGGCCTCGCTGCTGACGCCCAAGACAGTGCTTTCTCTGGGAAATCAGCTGGCACGCGTGCCCACTTGGTTCCCCGCACAGCGGCAGACATCACCAAGCGATCACTACTCGTCCAGACGGGGCCCTGCTGCCTCCCTCCCTGCCTCAGAACACCTGAGGTGACCCACGCAGCACCTCACCTCCACACTGTGAGGAAACAGCTGACAAGGGCGGAGGTACTGGAGTGTAACTCAGTACGGAGTGGTGCTCCCTGCCCTGGACGACAGGACCGCTCCCCCGATCTTGAGCTTGGGCCCAGTCAGCTCAGTTAGCCCCAGTTAGCCCTGGGCACCCTGCGCACGGCTTCCAGGAAGTAAGGCTGTCGCAATCTGCACGGGCTGCCTCAGAATTTGAGCTTTGTGCTCAATGGATCCCCTTATGACTACCGAGCTGGAAAGGGGAGCCTCACTTGCACAGCCCAGGGTTGAGGCCCACTGTACTTCCTCTGGCAGAGCCGGGAGCAGGTGAAACCAGTATTTCCTTCTGTGGGTTTAAAGGGCAGCAGATGGCCTGCTTGTTCAGTTCTGTGGAGTATAGATATCTCTCTTTTTGTTCTCTGTGTTTAAGCTCCCATGTGCTGGTCTACAACCCATGAGTTACGTGTTTTTAAAAAGTTTATTCTTGGGAGTTTTTCACTCAATCGCTCAGCTCTCCAAGGTCAGCGCTCCCTGTTTTACTCTTTCTGCAGCACTGACCCCTTCTGTGTGCAGCGCTGTGATCTACCAGTGCTTTGAATTGGAGCGTGTATTACAGTTCAGGGGCTGGGTTAGGATCCACGCTGGGCTCAGGAATGCTGGCGGCTCAGCAGAGGCTGTGGCAGAGTCCGGCTCCCAGCTCTAGCCTTAGCAGCGAGGCCCATGGCAGGCTGTCAGGTCACTCTCCTCTCAGCGTCCTCACTGGCAGAGCAAGTGGATGATCTTCTCGGCTACTTTACAGCTCTGACACTTGCTGAAATACTGAATTCCAGGCAAAGGCTGAAACCTCCAAGTACATAACAAAAGGTAGTTTCTTGCAAGTGGGTGTCCTCCAGTCCAGTTCAGTTTCGACATTACCCACAGTTAGACTCCGCGGGCTAAGGACTCAAGTCCATGACAATGTCCCCACTTCACACTCCAGCCACAAGTCCCGGGTGTCCCCTCGCCACCCCACTCATACTTGCTTACAAGTTCAGGCTTACCCGCCACTCCCGGTAGGCTTAATAATTGGCCAGGATGACTCTCAGAACTCAGGACAGCTATACTTCTGACTATGGTTTTATTATCCAGGGTACAGTTCAGAAGCAGTCAAATGGTAGGGAGCTGTACGGCCAGGTCTTGGTTGTGGGGGTGGACGGGGCTTCTGGCCTGTGGAGTCAGCCTGTTGCCCTCCCGGTGGATCAGTACCTCACCAGCCAGGTAGCTCACCACACCTTGCGGTCCAGTCTGCCTGGCTCGCATTATGTAGGCCTGATTGATTCAACCACTGGCCATGTGATTGTACTCAGTCCCCTCCCTGGACAGAGTGGAGGTGAAGGTTCCAACCCTGCGAGCCTGTGGTTGGTTCCTTGACAACCAGCGCCATCCTGAAACCATCTACATGCAGCCCACCCTGTCTTCGTGAGTGACTACTTATGCGCAGGTGTGGGCCATGGAAACTCTTTGTGACTAACCAAACACTCCTGCGCTCAGCAAATCCCTGTGCTTTCAGAGCTGCCAGTAGCAGTGACAAAGACCAAGTCTATTTTTTTATTGTACGGATTGTATTTAAATATTTTTTTTTGTAATCAGTGAAATTCACACATCAATGTGATAAATCTTTGGTGAGTTTCATTTAGCTGCAGTGTTTTGTTTTTGTCCTTAGTGACAGTTGGGAACAGGCACACTGCCCTGCTTTAGGCTACCTCTTGAGATACAGTTCCTGAAGCAGGAGGGGAGGACCATGTTCCTCAGCGAAGTGGATTTCAGGGTCTGACCTAGCAGGGACGTAACAGGGCACACAGTCCTAGCTGTAAATGTCTGTCCCCCTTCCCTTCTTCCACCACAGGAACCAGTGTATCAACCAGATGAAGGAGGTGCAGGAGCAGTGTGAAGAGCGGGTGGAAGAGCTCACCAGGAAGGGGGACGCAGCTGCAGCTTCCAGGGGCCCGAGTGAAAGAAACAGCCAGCATCAGCAGGTAATGTGGAGACGTTCTGCCCAGAATGTCTAGGAGGGGTCTTCTCTTCAGCCCTCTCCTTTCCTTTCTCTGCGCTCTGGTTTGCTTCATCACTGCCCTCCATCGTGGATTTGTTCCCTGAGGTGCAGCGAAACAAAGCTTGGCCCCACAACGCCCAGGCTCGGCAGGTGCGTGGCCTCCGGAACCAGTTCTCGGGCGCAGGCAGGGCTGTCTGGGGATTACTTCCTTCAACACGAACAGCCACCCAGGAGGCAGAGGCTGCTGTTTACTCTTCAGAAAAAGCAGAGGCCTATGGAGATGTTACGTACCGAGGTGTGGGCCAGGTGATCTGTGGTGTCATCTCCCTGCTGCACCACCCCCGCTGGGGACACCGCAGCTCGGGCTTTTTGGAGGTCTCTGATGTTTAATAATACGGCAGCTTGATTGAAACACGAGCAACATTTATATGCCTAGCTCATATAAAATTTATAATCTAGTGGTGTTCGGTATATTTACATTGTGCAGTCATCAACGTGACTAATTTTAGAACATTTTGCTTTGTGGCTTCTTCTCGGTATAATGTAGCCTCTTTCAGCAATTTATTACTTTTGTTTTTTTTGGGGGGTGTTTTGATACCAGGGATCAAACTCAGGACCTTGTTCTTGCAAGGCAGGCGTGGTGCCACTGAGCTAAATCCCAAGCCCTAATTTATTATTAATTTTTATCACTGAGTAATTTTCTACCGTGGGGATGCATTGTGTTTACTGGCAGTTGATAGACATTTGGGTTTCTACACTTTGTCGTGAATGCTGCTGCTTTGAGCATCTGTGTGTAAGTTTTCATCTGGAGATATAGTTCTAGGAGTGGAACTGCTGGGTCATATGATGGTTTATATTTAACCTACTGAGAGACTGCCAGACCATTTTCCATTTGCACCGGCAATTTCCAAGTGTTTGTTTTCTTTGTATCCTTGTTAACTCTTGTTCCTGTCTTCTTTAGTGTGCCCCTCCTAGCACATGTCGAGTAGTAGTACCTCATTGTGGTTTGGATTTCCATTCCCTAATAACCAGTGATACTGAGCATCTTTAATGCTTTGTCGATCATTTGTATATCTTTGGAGAAATATCTTTTCAGGTCATTTTTTTAATAGAGTTATATTTATTATTAAGTTTGTAATATATCCTGCATATAAAAAGATACATGATATTGGATATATGATTTGCAATTTTTGTTTCAATTCCATGGATGGCTTCTACACTGTCCTGATGGTATACATTTGATCCATTTTGAGTTCATTTTCACATATGGTGTGAGGTAGGGCTCCAGTGTCAGTGTTTTCTGTGTAGACATCAAGTTTTCTCAGTACCATTTGTTGAAGAAAAAAAGCACAAGAGTGTCCTTTTCCCCACTGAATTATCCTAGCACTTTTATCCAAAATCAGTATACTGTAAGTATGAGGGCTTCTTTCTGAACTCTTAGGTCTAATCCATTCTGTGTATTATGTCAGTACCATACAATCTTGATTACAGTAGCACTGTAGCAAGCTTCAAATTCAGGAAATGTAAGTCTTTGGTTTTGTTGTTCATTTCCAAGATGGGGCTCTTTTGCATTCCTTAACTTTCCATAGGAATTTTAGGATTGGTGTGTCAGTTTCATCAATGAAATCAGATAGGATGTTGGCAGGCTAGATGTGTAGATCAATTTGAGGAATACTCTAGTACCATTTTAACAACATTAAGTCTTAATGAACTATGAATGTAAAATGTCTATCCATTTATTTGTCTTTTAAAAAAATCTTTCAGCAGTGTTTTATAATTTTAAGAAGTCTTGCACTTTTTTAAACTAATTTTTAAGTTTTGGGTTTTTTGCTATTATAAATGGAATTCTGTTTCATTTTCACGTTGTCCATTGCTAGTGTGTAAAGTATAATTCTTTTTATACCAGTCTTCTGTCTTGTAACCTTGCTAACCTTCCTCTCGTTTTTGTTTTGTGGTCATTCTGTAGGACTTTCTATATATAAGATTACACCACATACAGAGATAGTTTTATTGTTCCTTTTCCAGGGCGTACACCTTTTGTTTTTATTGACTGATTCCTTTGGCTAGAACCTCTACTGGAATGGTACGTATGAATGCCCAGTGCAGACATCTTTATTTTTTTCCTGATCATAACAGTTTTTCATTTTTGTCAGATACCAGCTGTAGTTTTCACTGTATCAAATTGAGGACTTTCCCCTAGTCTCAATTTTTTTCTTTTAGTGTTTATCAGAGAAGTGGTTGGATTTTTGTAGATTTTTTTTAACAGCAATTGAAAAGAGCTGTTTATTGTTCTCTCTACTGTTGATACAGCATTGATTTTTTTTTTATGTTAATCCAACCATGCATCTCAGGAGAAGTCCTGTGTAGTCATGGTATATAATCCCTTATGTTTCACTGGATTTGATTTGTATTTCGTTGAGGATTTGGGTATCTAGGATAGATTGTGGTCTGTCATTTTATTTTCTGGTAGTGCCTTTGTCTGATTAGTATTGCGATAATAATGGGTTCAAAGAATGAACTGGAGAGTGTTCCTTCCCGTTCTGACTTTTTGAAGCATTTGTAAAGCTTTGGAATTCTTTTAATGTTTGGCAGAATTCAGTAGGGAAGCTATCTTGACCTAAGCTTTTCTTTGTATAAAGATTAAAATTCAATGTCTTTTCTTGTTATAGTTCTACTCAGATTATTCTGTTTTTTAGTTAGTTGATAGTGTGTATCTTTCTAGGAACTTTCCATTTCATCTAAGTTGTTCATAGCATTCCCTTATAATACTTTTGTATGTATGGTTGATAGTGATATCCTCTTTCATTTTTAATTTTAATAATTTGAGCCTTCTTTTTCTCTTTATTAACCTAGCTAAGGGTTTATCAATTTTGTTCATCTTTTCAAAGAAATTTTAATTTCATTGATTTTCTGTATTTTTCTATTCTGTTTCATTATTTTCTTCTGTATTCTTTGTTTCCTTCCTTTATTAGGTTTAGTTTGCTGCTGCTTCTTTTTTTTGTTCGTTTGTTTTTTGGTACTGGGGATGGAACTTGGGACCTTGTGCAGCGGAACCACTGATCTAATCCGCAGCCCTGCTCTTCTTTTTTGTAGTATATTAAGTTGGAAATGATTCGGTTATTCATTTCAGATCTATCTTCTCTCCTTTTTTGGTAAAGACTATTTTTCTAGAGTTTTTTTTTTTTTTTTTTTTTTTTTTTTTTTTTTTTTTTTCTTTTGGTACCAGGGATTGAACTCAGGGCCTTGTACTTGTGTGGCAGGCGGTAGAACCACTAAGCTAAATCCCTGGCCCTCTAGAGCTATTTTAGATTCACAACAAAATTGAGAGGAAGGTACAGAGAATTCTCATGTGCCCCTCGCCTCCATGTATACATAGCTTCGCCATGTATTCCCCTTCATAACAATATGTATGTACAGCACAATCACCCACATTCCATAATCTGGACTTGTGGTGTTCGGACAAATGTATAAAGACATGCATCCATCATTACAGTATCACACCGAGTATTTTCATTGCCGTACTTTACCTATTCATTCCTACTCCCTTCACAAGCCTCTGACAAATACTAGTCCTCTGACTATTTCCCAAGTTTTGTTTTTTCAAAACTATCCTACAATCGGAATCATACCATTAGGATATTTTTCAGTCAGGTGCTGCACTGCTGAGCTTCATCCCTGGCCCCCTTGTAACTTTTTCATATTGGCTTCTTCCATTTAGTAATATACGTTTATGGCTTCTCTGTCTTTTTAGTTCTGAACTGCTGTACATAAATTGTATGTACAACTGCTGGTTTATCCTTTCACCTACTGAGGGACATTGTGGTTGCTTCCAAGTTTTGTTAATGGCAAATGAAACTGCGATAAACATCTATGTGCGGGGTTTTTTGTGTGCGTGAATGTAAATTTTCCAGTCCTTTGAGTAAAAATGCTAAGTAGTGCCCTTGCATCATCATATGGGTGTTTCATTTTATATGAAACTGTTTAAACTGTCTTCCAAGGTGGCTGTACCATTTTGTGTTCATACCAGCAAAGAATGAGAGTTCTTTTGGTTTACAGCCTCCCCATCATTTGGTGCTGGTGGCGTTCCAGATTTTGACCACTGTAATTGGTGTGCAGCGATATCCCATTATTTTTTTAAGTTTGTGTTTCCCTTAGATGTGCTGTGGAACATCTTTTCATACGCTTCTTTGCCAATGTTAAATCATCTTTGTTAAAGTGCTTTCTAAAATCTTTGGTCCATTTTTCTAACTCTACGGTCAGTCTTTTTGCCGTTGAGTTTGAGTTCTTTATATATTTTGATAACAATCTTTTATGAGAAGTGACTCTTGTAAATATTTTTCCCAGTCTGTAGCTTATCATCTCATTCGATCAACATTATCTTTCACAGAACAGAAGCTTGTACTTTTAATGAAATCTATGTTATCTTTTATTTCTGTCATGGATCGTGCCTTTGGTGCTGTAGGTAAAACATCAATGCCATGCCCAAGGTCATCTAGATTTTTTTCCTATTTTAACATCTGGCTGGGCAATTTAATTAAAAAAAAAAAAAAAAAAACGAGACTGAACTCAGGGCCTTTACACTAAGCTATAGCTCCAGCCATTTATTATTATTTTATTATTATTTATCTTGCAACAGTGTCTAAATTTCCCAGGGATCTTGCATACCTGGGACAATGTGCATTTAGCCACTCTATATAAATCTTATACAACGTGGATTTAATCTGCCAATATTTTCTTGGCAGTTTTTGTATCTATGTGAGCAATATAAGTCCATTGTTTTCTTAAAATGTCTTTAGTTTTGAGATTAGAATCATGCTGGCTTCATACAATGAGTTAGGAAACATTGTATCTTCTGAAAGAGAAGTGGGTAAAACTTCTTTCTTAAATGTTTGGTGGGACTCACCCGTGAACCCATGTGGGTCTTGGAACCTGTTTTGCAAGGTTATTAATTTTGATTGATGCTTTTGCTAGATATATATTCGGATTGTGTATTTCTTGTATGAGTTTTAGAGGGATGTGTCTTTCAAAGAATTGGTACAGTTTATCAAGATTATCAAATTTGTGGGCACAGAGTTGTTTGTGGTATTCCTTTAGCACTCTTTAAACAGCCCTGTGATAGTCATAATGTTCCTACTTTCATTTGTGATACTAAAGACTTATCTTCTCAAAGGACAAGTTTTTAGTTTTATTGCTTTCCTTTTTTTCAATTTCACTGATTTATGCTCAAATTCTTATTCTACTTACTTTGGATTTAATTTACTGAGGTTTTTTTCCCCCCTAGTTTCATAAAATTTGAATTTACAGCTTTCTTTCCTTTTAATGTGGTCACTCAGTTCTCTAAATTTCTCAGTACTGTTCTCATCGCATCCTACAAATGTTAATAAATTGTTTTTATTTAGGCCAAAATATTTTTAAGTTTCTCTTGAGAAGTCTGTGTATTTTTGCTTGTGTTATTTAGAAATGTGTTTACTCTCCAGTATTTTGGAATTTTCCAGCTTTCTTGTACTGATTTTAGTTTCAGTCTGTTATGATTGAGGGGTAGACATTGCGTGATTTCTCTCCTTTTAAATTTGTTAGGGTGTGTTTTATGGCCCACAGTGCTCTGTGTCTTGGTGAATGTTCTCTGTGTACTTAAGAATGTGTGCTCTGCTGGTTTTGGTGAAGTCGTCTGTAGATGCTTATATCCAGTCGACCGATGGTGGTGATGATTTCAGCCATGTCCTCACTGATTTCTTTTTTTTTTTTTAACCTGTTAGATCTGTCTAATTCTGAGCAAGGGTATCGACGTCTCCACTAACCAAAGTGGATCTGTTCTTGTTTATCCTGGTAGCTTTACAAGGTTTTTACTGCCCCTGCTGGTTTGATACTGTGTTGCTAGGTGTGCATACATTAATACTTGTTAGGGAGAACTGACCCCTTTGTCATTAGGCTTCTCTTTGTCCTTGGTATTTTTTCTTGCTCTGAAGTTTGCTGTTTGAAATTAATACAGCAACTTTCATTCATTACGTAAATGTTAAATTGGAGTATCTTCCTTTTACTTTTATTTACTTTGCGGTACCAGGGATTGAACGCAAGACCTTGCACTTGCAAGGCAGGTGGGGCACCACTGAGCTCAATCCCTGTGGCCCCATTTACTTGTAATCTATAAATGTCTTTGAAGTGAGGTTTCTTGTAATCAACATACAATTTAGTTATTTTTTTATCCATTCTGACAATCTCTTTTACTTGGTAGGTTTAGAACATGGACAGTGTGATCATTGTTCAAAGTGATTACTGGTATAGATTAATATCTACCATATTTTAAAATTGTTTTTTAACAGAAAAATTATTGCATTTTTTTGATTTTTGCACCTTCTGCCTTTTAACTGAGCAGTGTATGATTCCATTTTCTCTTCTTGTCATACCGGTTACACATTCTTCTTTTACTTTTTAAATGGTTGCCCTAGAGTTTGCAATATTCTTTTACAACTATTCATGCCTACTTTCAGATGGTACCGCTACACTTCAGAGATCATGTGAGGCTTTATAACAATGGAATAATCCTTTCTCCTACCTCACATGGGGCATCACTGCTGTCATTCCAGTCCACAGCTTTACTGGAGCTTCCTTTCTGCTGCACTTTTTGCTTTTCATTCTCAACACAGACCTGGCTAAAAGACCTCAACATTATCCATGCTGCTGTTTTTGAATCCTTTCCTAATTCTTCTAAGCCAGTTCCAAAGGCTCCTGAACCACACCATCAGGTACCATGACAGCAATGATCCCATTTCTCTGGTACCAAAGTATGACTTAGTTATTTTTCTCCTTGCTGAGACAAAATACCTGACACCGAGTTACAGAAGGAAAGGTCTGTGGAGGTTTCAGCAATAATCAGCCAGCTCCAAGGCAGAGGAGCGCCACAGAGAAACAGTTCATGGCAAGCAGAAGCAGCAAGCAACAAGTGACCGGTATCACACAGCCTAATCCAGCCACCTCTGAAAAGCCCCACTTATGCTGGTATGGATCTTTGGGGGACATCTAGATAGAAGTCATAAGAGGATTGAACCCAGGGCCTTCACACTGAGCTACAGCACCAGTCATTTTATATTTTTATTTTGAAATAGGACCTTGCTACGTCACTACATCGCACAGGTTAGGCTTGATCCTTCTGTCTCAGCCTCTCAGAGTGCTGGGATTATAGGTATAGATCACCATACCAGGCTCATTTATCCATTATATCTAATTATGAACGAGGAAGTTTTTATATTACATTCAGTTACTCCTTTTTTTCCTCCTCTCATTATATATATATATCCGAGTTCTACCCTATGTTAAACATAACATTTCTTGCAAAGCAAATCTTCTGGGAAGGGTTTTTTCCTTTGGCTTGAGAATTTTTTCAATGATAGTCTGTACTCTGAAAATGATATGAATGTGTGTAGGGTTCTTGTTACTTATCCTGCTTGACGTTTTTCCTGAGCTTCCTGGACCATGGCTTGGTGACTCGACAGTAATTTGGGTAAATCCCCGTTATTGTTTTGAGTATTTTTCTCTGCTGCTGTTTTTCCTCCTCCTCCTCGTATTCCCATGTCTACTTTCTCCAGTTGTCCCAGTCTGTGGATGTTTTCTGTTGTTTTCAGTCTTTATTTTTTGTTTTTCCATTTTGGAGGTTTCTATTTAAATACACTAAAACTCAAGAGAGTCTTTCCTTGGCAATGTTAAGTCTAATAAGCCCATCGGAGATATTATTCATTTCCGGTACAGTGTTTTCCACTTCTAGCGTTTCTTCGTGGTTTTGTTGAGAATTTCCATTTCACTGCTTACCCTGTCTGTTCTACTAGCATAATCTGCTTTACCCAGTAGAGCCTTTAGCATATTAATTTTAAACTCCCGGCTTGGTAATTCTGACATCCCTGCCATATCTGGTTCTGATGTTTGCTCTCCAAATTGAGTTCTTGGTTTTTGTTTTATTTGGAGGGAGGGGTGAGACAGGGTCTCAGTAGTTCAGGCTGGCTTTGAATTCATGGCAATCCTCCTACCTCAGCTTCCCAAGTGCTAGGATTACAGGTGTGCACCACTATGCCCCATGAGTTCTTGGTCTTTGTAAAATGTGTTTTCAGTTTTTCCCAACAGTGAACATAATGTACACACCGGGTAGGAGGAACTGCTTAAGTAGGCCTCTGTTAACGTGTCGGTAAGGTGTGATGGAGGGCAGGCTGTCTGTCTTTGGTGAGCCTGTGTCCTGGGTCTGTGGACTTCACACACGCATCTCATTTTCCAGCCCCTCAAGTGGGGTGAGAGGGTTAAATGGGACTTGGTTGCTTCCTTTCCCCAAGTCAGCCTTTGGTAGTACTCGGGGCAGACTTCCTTCAGGGAACAGAATGTTCTGGTCTATTTCAAAGTGATTCCTGTTCCCTTCCTGCTACAAGGTTGAGTGCATTTTTCTCCAGTGTCCACTGTGAGAGCTTGGTTGAGCTCCTGGAGGTAAAACAGAAGTTGGAGGAGCTCCCTTAAGACTGAGTACCCCTGAAGTTAACCTTCAGTCTCCCTCTGGTAAGCAGTCTCTAGTCAGGTGCAGGGCTTGCTCTGAGTCCTCACCTCCCGTAGGGATCCAAGAAGAGCTGATGGTTCTCCAGTCTGTTTGCCAGGACTGCGTGATGACATCTAAGCCCCTACATCAGCAGCGACAAACCTATGGCACACGTGTTCTGGGATTTTCTTTTATGACAAAGGATGTTAATATAGAGTTGTTTTTTTCTAAACCAAAACCACAGTATTCAAGTTTAATTGCAATATTGGCACCATGCAATAAGTTAAGTGGGCTTTGAATTGCAGTTTGGCATTTGGTCTAAAAAGTTCACCTTCACTATACTACATAGTTGTGGGACTGGGAACCAGAGAAGTCTTCTTTCTCAATTTAAGTGTTAAAAGGTACCAGTGTCTGTCTATATACTGCTATAGCTGCCTGCCATGGTTTTCTGTTTATGTGGGGTTGTTTTTGAGACAGAACCTTGCTGTGTTCAGACTGATCGTAAATGTGTAGCCCAGGCTGGCCATAAACTCATGGCTATCCTTCTGCCTCCGCCTCCCAAGTGCTAGAATTACAAGCATGTGCCACTGCTCCCTCCATAGGTTGTAGTGTGTTTCCATTCCCTGTGTCTCAGTGTATTTTCTTTATCCACCATGTGATTTGTTTGACCTGTTGCATTATTGGCTTTGTGGCCAGCTGTGCCCCTGCCTCGGGGAGAGTCCTGTATGCATTTGCAAAGAATATAAATTTTTCTCATGTTTTGTGTTCTTACAGATGTTTGGTCTGGGTGGTTTACTATGTTGTTCACATTTTTTCCATTTTTCTGCCTGGCTTGTGTGCATTGTAAGTCCTTTCTGGGAGGCCTGTGCCTTCTAATTCATGCCACATGATAGGCACCATCAGGGTGCCGACAGTCTCCCCTAGGATTGGTGGTGCAATGCACTGCATGCAGGGCTCATAGGTCCTGTGTTCCTGTTTCAATTCCAGGCTCCCAATGAGTCCCAACCCAGACTACAGAGAGCAGGCTTGCCACTGGCAACAGCACCACCATCAAAAGGAAGCGGGTCCAGAAAGGGCAAGTCCCAGATAGCAGACTCTCCTGAGGTGGTTTTGGATTTGAAAGGGCAAAGAAAGAAAGGTAAGCAGAGCCTGGCAGTTTCTTTCAGACCCTCTCTGGAGCCTTGTTGATATTCAGCAAGTAGCAGCAACTCATCCACTGTTACCCACATACATAGAGAGAGGGCAGTGTGTGCAGCTTGCTAGCAGTGAGCTCAGTGATGAGACAGGACAGGGGCAGGTGCCTCATCTGGCACTGGGAATTAGGGCCATGGGGAGTCTTCCCCTTCTGACAGACTATCCATATAGCTGTATAATGAGAAGTCAGGATGGTACTGGAGACATCCCTGGGGTAATGGGATTAAGGGGAGGTGGCTGACCCCCCGGCAGCTGTCAGTGGGAACAAAGGTGTGACTCTTTGTGGACCCAGGTACCCATCTCAGACTGATGATAGTCACATACACTGCACTGCAGCACTGCACCAACCTCCACTTGGAGCTTATTGAGACTCCTTTCCTAAACTGCTTCTCATCCTCATTGTAAGGATGAGCTGTCCCATAAAAGCCTGTGGTATGTTGCGGAGGTCATGAAGTAAGCTTCCCAGCAGATACCGTACACAAGCCAGCACCTCCCCACTCCCTGGAAGCACCCTGGGAATTGAGGGGCAGCAGGTATTTTTGTTTTGATCAAAATGATGAGGTTGCAGCTAATGATGTTCTGTGCACAGAGGAAACCAATGAGATCCAGGGTGTGAGTGAGGAGGCGGCTCAGAGAGACCGTGGTGGACCACTGCGGGAGCCAGGCCAAGGACAGGCTGCAGAAGACCTGCCTGTGGGTGGCAGAGGCCTCGGGGGAGCTAGAGAAAATGGCCACACCGTACAGGTGCCAGCTGCCCTGTTGGCGAACCCAGAAAACCAGGAGCCAGAAGAACCTGAACGGGACCAGCTTGTTATCCGTGAAGGGCCAGAGGAACAAGTCGCTGCCGAGGGAGGTGGGTGAGGCTCCTTTCTATGAAGCACTCAGCCCTCTCCACCTTCCTGACCTGAGGCATGCCCTCGAATTTCAGCAGATCTTTCCGGCGTCCATAATCAAGCTGGAGGCAGGCAGGAAGGGCAGTGGACAGTGTAGCCCTTGAGGTTTCAGAAACCATACTAACAGGGAGTTGAGCAGACTCTGAAGATACACGATTTTGAGAGGAGTGCTTAGCAGGGTAGAAACTGCTTCCTGACGGGCAGACCACCAACACACTTACAATCTCTGCCTTCTTGTGTGGTGCCTGCTGAGTGTAGGGAGCGCTGGTGAGTGACTGAGAGGAACGGAAGGAACGACTGGGTGTAGAGGTCAGTGCGTATCTGGGCATTGAGGAAGAGTGACGTACAAGCCCGTCTTTGGGATTTTTCTTTGCAAAGAAATAAGGAGTGGAACTCTGTGATCAACAAAATATTCTGGAATGCATTTCCAGGCCTTTAAGTTACAGAGTTTCCATCCCACCCAAGCCGAGAGAACTTAGGAAGACATGACTGACATCTGTGTTCTACGATGGCCTGAAAATAGAACTTGGGGGAATTTACCCCAATTCGATTTAAATCTCATTCTCACTTCAGTTTCCCTTTTGGAAGAAAGTTCTTACCTGCTCACAGTGGGAGGACTCAGGCTACGTATAAGTATCAGTCCACCGACACCCAGGGGAACAGCTAAAGGTACGCTGAGCGACCGCGGGGCCCATGTAATACCCCTGTTCCAGATGCAGGTGCAGTCATCTGGCAGGAGTAAACCTCACATGGTGCACAGGTGCCTTTCCACCTCCTTTTTTTTTTTGGTACCAGGGATGGAACTTGAGACCTTGTGCTTACAAGGTAGACTGGTACCACTGGGCTAAATCCCCAGCGAGTGCAGAAAAATGGAACTACAGCACTTTCCAGACCCTTTTTCAATTTTACAGGCTTTTACTTAAAATCTTGCTGTGTACACATGTAAAATGTTTGAACTCTTGGAATAGTTCTTGTGAAGGCACTTTGTCCTAACCTCCTTTTCTGGTTGTTCTTACTCTGGGGCTGAAAGCAGTATCAAATGATCCAGCACCTCACACAGGACAGTTGTGTTCTGCTCACAGTAAAGACTCCATTCCCTCTCAGTGCAATGAGTCATTCTAAGGAGATGCTGTCATTACTCAGTAGTTTCCTCATGTCCAACCTAGGCTGGGGCCTTTTTGAGGAGGGGAATGTGGTCATGCTGTGTTGCCCAAGCTTACTCTAAACTCCTAGTTTCAAGTGATCCTCCTGCTCAGCCTCCCCTCTTGGGTTGCTGGGATTACAGACAGGACCCATAGCACCCAGTCCCTTTTTTGAGATTAGGGGAGTTGCTGAGGATTGAACCAGGGCCTCATGTATGCTAGGCTTCAAGTCACACGCTCAAGCTCCACAGCCGTATTTTATACAGATTTCAGTCAGAGTGCAGCATTCATTCCTAATAGGTAACAAAGATCTGATTGCTGGAGCGTGACTGAGTTACCTCAAGCACCTGCTGCTGTTCCTATGCTATCAGGAGAGAAATGATGTAGCTTACATTTTGTGTGACTACAGGAAGAAACCAGCAGAAGCTGGGGGATGATGAGGACTACAACGTGGATGAAAATGAGGCAGAATCTGAAAGAGACAAGCAGGCAGCCCTTGCCGGGAGCGACAGGAACTTAAATGGTAAGATCAGTGGTGACAGTGGGGGCTTTCTCTTCTTCTTGGTCCTTCACTTTGTCTAGTCAGTTAATAGCAGTAATAATACATAAGTAGTCATTTCAAGGAGACAGTGTTTTATTTAGCTTTTGAGAGCCAAAGCTAGGTTAGGTGAAGGCTGAGAAGCCGAAGATATCACTTGGAGAACTTGCTTTCGGTAACATTTAGGGATTTTCTAACAAAATATCTGGGTCACCTCCTGATCAGTCTACCTCTATACTTGGTGAAGCTAACCTCCCTGCAAAAGCTCAGCTTTTGGGATACTGAGGACTGAACTCAGGGGTGCTCTACCAGAGGTACATCCCCAGCACTTCTATTGTTTTGAAACTGTCTTGCTGTATAACAGTCTGACCTTAAACTTGTGGTCCTCCTGCCTCAGCCTCCCAAGTGATGGGATTAGTGGTGTGCACCACCATGTCGGGCTTGATCCCTTGCTGAGCTCAGATTATATTTCCTGATTTTTTCCTGTCTCTACACTTTTTCCGTATTTCCCATTTCTGAGCTACAGGGTATTTCCTCAAAAATAAAGCCTTCCAGTTTGCAAACTTTTCTTGCCTCATTTGCTTTAACTCATGAGAAAATTATTGTTCCTGCAAGTGCTCTCATACCACCTTGCTTCCTTGTGTGTGTTCTAGTTGTGAGCCACTAGTGTCCCTGGTACTGATGGGAAGCCTCTGTGTGAGTTACAGGTCAGCCCACAGAAGGCAGCTTGTCAGCTGATACAAAGCCCCACGACTCCGCCTCTTTAAAGCGAATGCTCACCTCTTGTTGGGGTCCTGGTCCTCACTAGCTGGGAACTGTCCTGTCTGCCCATCTGCATACAGGTTTCTGAGCCGTTAGCCTTTGAGGACCTCAGCTTTCTGTGGTTGTTCCCTGCTTCACTCCCCACCTCGAGGGGAGCCCACATTTGGAAAGTGAAGGGGCAGAACTCGAGGATCTTGAGGCTTTAGCAGGACTCTTCAGGGTCAAAGCTGGCTTTGATGCTTAATGATTACCTGCAAGAGCTGATGACTTTTATTACTATGAGCAATGCATTAGTTTTAGTGTTAATTTTGTCTAAGTTTAACTTTTCATTTTCAAACGGTTTAAATTTTTGGAAAATGAAAGGAATTTCCATATAACCCCTCATCCAGGTTCCCCAAATGTTACCATATTAGCATAACTGTAGTGTATTTGTCCAAATGAATACTGACCACGCAATTGTCTGATGTACTGACTTTATGCAGATTTCCTTGCTCTGGTCCAGGATCATACACTGCGCTGTCACACTTCTTTCACGCCCCTTAGTCTTGAGCTCTTCTTTATTTATCGCTTACCCTCCGCCAACTCCTGAATGTTTCTGTACTGACCCTGTTGTTCTCGTCTCTCAACTTGGGTTTGTCTGATTCGACAGCCCGTTCTCGAAATCATGCCTTGTACTTAACTGGGATGTCACAGAGTTGCTTAGTGTCTAGAAAGGAAGTCCTATTCAGTTGTTCAATTGTATTCTTGGACTACATAGGTGATTTTTTTCAAGGCAAAGGTTAGCACAGTAGCAAGGTTAAGCATCTCTGCTCTGTTCCTTGTGCATCTGACTCTACTGATCTCTGTCTCTTATCTGTAATGCAGCCCAGTGTCTCACTAAATTTGGATTTGCAGGGAAGCCATCTTTTTTTTGGACCCAGGGTCTCGCTATGTAGTCCAGGCTGATCTTGAGTTCATGGCCATCCTGCTGCTTCAACCTCCCAAGTGCTAGGATTACAGGCATGCGCCAACATACTCGGCCTGAAGCCTTGATTTTTCACCCCCAACTCTCAGGTGCTCTTCCAAGAATCTGACTTGTGCAACAGCTCTAAACAAAGGGAGGAGGCAGGCAAGGTAAAGATAAAGGCTCTATCAGTTCTTTAAGATACAGTTCTAAGAGGAAGTGTCAACAACAACAGCTTCAACATTATAAAGTGTAAAAACCTTAGCTGCTCCAGGGAAATAAGATGAAAAAGGCATTAACTCCGACTGTTTTACTATCAACTTAATTATGACAGTCACTTAACTACTTCCTTAAATTAACTTTTTAGCATGCACTAGTTATACTGGCTTCAGCTTTTATTTGTGATTTTTTTTTTTTTTTTTTTTTCTTCCT